TGTAGCCAAGAATCAACATACTTCTAAGCCTGTACTTAGAAATAATATCCTACAGAGGCAATTCTCCTTATCTGTGAATTCCATATTAGCACATCTTTTCCTGAAATGGGCAACTTCCAAATCAATACTCATGGCACTTTCAAAGTTATTTTTGGACAAATATACTTATGATGAAAATACTTATGATGAAAAATTTTAATACAAAGATGCTAACATTCCCAGCTGAGGTTGAACAAGCCATGCCTAAGCTCCCATGTTGTAAACAAGTGTCCTTTCTAGGTCTGTTGTGCCATGTTTTCCCACTTTTTCCTTGGTGATTTTGCTGTTAAAAATGACCCTGAAGCAAAGTGCTAAAGTACTATCTAGAGTTCCTCAACTCAAGAAGGCTATGAGGTACCTTGTGGAAAAAGTACATGTTAGATAAGCTTTGTGCTTAAGCATTAGTTACAGTGCTATTGGCTGTGACTCACTGTTAACAAATCAATAATACATACTAAATAAGACAAACAGAAACACATGTAAAATAAGGTTATCATTGATCAGTTGAAAATATGACCAGAGGCTTGCAGAAACTTAGGAATAAAGATTCAGTATTCATTAACAGTGTTCATAGCAACTTTATAGACTATCACAACTATTGTTACATGTACTAACTCTAAATATAGAGCATTTTGGGGGCTGGGGCTGTAGCTCAGGGGTGGAGCGCCTGCCTCACAGGTGTGAGGCACTGGGCTTGATCCTCAGCACCACATAAAAATAAATAAATAAATAAATAAAGGGTCTGGGGTTGTGGCTCAGGGGTAGAGTGCTAGTACGTGCGAGCTGCTGGGTTGGATCCTCAGCACCACATAAAAATAAAGTAAAGGCATTGTGTCCACTACAACTAAAAAAAAAAAAAAAATAAATAAAAAGATGTTGTGTCCATCTACAACTAAAAAAATATTAAAAAAAAAAAATAGAGAACGAGAGATCATTTTCCCCAAATTCAGAAATAGTGCCAGGTTTCTCAATGGGATAACTGCAAGGACTGTTGATGGAGTTCATTCATAGACTAAAAACATTAGAATAACACAATGCACAAAGAAAATGCATATTACATCACCAGTGACAAAGATCAAGTGGTTGCACCATAGTATGTGTATACACAGGGGCATGTAAGATGATACAATGGATAGGAGACTATAACAACCGTCATTTTTATTATTGTAATCTCATCTTTTATAAGGTCACTATATTGGCTGCACCACTTTGCAGTCTCGTCAGCAACGTATGAGCGTGGCTTTTTCCTCACATCCAGGCCAAGACTTCTTATTGTTTGTATTCTTAATAGCTACCATTCTGACTAGAATGTCATCTCATTTTATTTTAAAACTTAGTAATAGTACAATGATATATATACATAAATTTATATTGGCAGTGCCTGCTGCAATTGTATTTGATGACCAAAAAAATGTTGGGACATCAACACTGTAAAGATCAGAGTCAGTAGCAGAAAAAAGCAACTCTAGAGACACATAGCCTGCCATTAGGTGCAGAGCTGGTGACTTTGAGGATGCAGATGCAGTGGGAACTCTAAAGAAAGTTGGGTTCTACTTTGGCTCTGCTCTCAATCAATCGTAATGATTCTCACAAAGGACCTGCAGTCATCAACTTCTATGAGAAATTAGCCAGTTATAGCATTAGTAGAGAGAAATCTGAAAATTTTATGACTTAGAAAATGAAATATATACTTGGGAGGCTGAGGCAGGAGGATTGCAAGTTTGAAGCTAACCTGAGCAACTCACTGAGATTTTATCTGAAAATAAAATTTTAAAAAGGCTAGGGATGTGGCTCAATGGTAGAGTGCTTGCCTAGCATGAATGAGGCCTTGGGTATCCCCACTATGGCAAAAGAAAGGTTCTATGGCATCTCATAAGATATCCTGAACTGTTGGCACTACATTATGTACTTACATGGCATTGTATTTGTGTGTGTGTGTGTGTACACACAAACACTTTCAAGTACTCAGCAAAAAAAGAAAAAGGGAAAATATAACAACAGTGTTGGCAATCTGTCTACCATTCTACCCAAGTCAATTCCCAGGGGGCAGTCTCAGTTCCCTAGTGTCTTTTACAGTCTGAGTGGTTCAGTGTGTGGCTAATAATTGACATGACATATTATTCATTTATCACCACAAAATCCCAAAATAACTACTTCATCTGATGCTCAAGGGAAGAAGCAGGAATGTTTCATCCATAAAGGAAAAATGAGCTGCATTTGATTTACATAGAGAAACTGAAATCTATTTCCATGTATGTCTGAGTTTGCTGGAATGAACCCAACAACTATGTAAACCATTAAGCTCTAATTAAAAAAAGAAAAAAGAGAGATGGGCAAGCTCTAGAGTATTCACTTTCTAAGGGTACTTCAAAGGCAATTTCTGACAATGCTTGGTTTTTACAGTAAACACTCACTGTTGAACCAAACACCCAAATAAGGTAAGGCTTTATTTTGTCCAAGGATCTGTAACTAAACCTATTTCCAAGAGATGACATAAGTTGAAATTTGTTACTATATACTTTTATGGTACTTCATATTGACTGAAGTGTTCTCATATCAACTGTGCTATTTAATATATAAAGCAGCCAAGCAAAAAAGACCAAACACTGTGGTCTCATTACAGAGACTGCATTCAATAATGGAAAGAATAAGAGTTCTCGAATAGACAATTTTGGTTCAAATCCCAGGCAAACTGTTCAACTTTTTAAAGCCTTAGTAAATAGTACACACTCATCATAATCTTTAAAAATGAGTTATTATGTATTCCACATATGTACAGTACTCAGTTTCCTTCCATCATTCCACGGAGCAGGGCTGCAAGTTCATATACCTAATCTGACTAATAATATGCTCAACACATAAAACATCATTCAACTCCCAGTTCCATGCTTACAAGTTTAAGGATACAACTCAGCATGTCCTTTAAAAAAGTGTGCAAAAACTATGCTAAAGTTTCTTTTCAAGTAAATTTATAAAAAGCCGTTATCCTCAAGACACACCATGTATATGCGTATGTATTACGATGCAAAGGCTCTGAGAAATCATGCAATTAAGAAATCTAGCTGAACACATTCAGACTAGCATTCCCAAAAGTACATTAAATGGATTTATTTGCATAATTACCATAAACATCCAAGGACCTAACATTCTTCTGAACAGACTTTTGGAAATAGTGGCTTTGATAAAATCATGTGTAAAAAAAACATTAACAATACTACTAATGATCTATCCTTTAAACATTCCTGTATCATTCTTTTGCAGCCTGCCTTGAGTTTCAAAATAGTCTCCTGGGATTTAATCCAGGGGTGCTTAACCTCTGTGCCACATCACCAGTCCTTTTTTTCTATTTTTTATTTAGAGACAGAGTCTTGCTGAGTTGTATAGGGCCTTTGCTGAGCTGCTCAGGCTGGCTTTGAACTCAGGATCCCCCTGCCTTAGCCTCCTGAGCCGCTGAGATTACAGGCATGAGCTACTCCACCAGAGTTCTAGTGTCAAACTCAAATCAACTTATTTAGGTTGCTAGGGTATTTTAATTTTCAGATTTAGAATAAGTTTGTCATAAGGTTTTCAAGAAGTGGCTATCATAAAGTTATGCAGTGGGGAAAAAAAGGTAGGGAAGGGGTATCTGTAACTTTGTTACAAAACTGAATTGTATGAGGCATTTTATTCCACAAATAAAGTCTCCAAGAATGGTACATATTTAATACAAAAATTCTCTGTTATTACCCTGATCTCCTGATGACAGCAGAAAGTAAGAGAGCCACAATGGAGCTAAGTAGCTATATACTATAACCACAAAAATTAGGAATCTTTTTTTTTTCTCTGAAAACCAAGAAAGCAGGCATTCTGTCACAAGAAAAAAAAGAAAGCCAACACAATCATTAGCATTTGGGCAATCTTGACGTCCTTGGTGTGATTAAATACTTGGAAAAAATGTCCAATTAGATTTCTTCAGAATCTTTAAGATGTCAAAATACTGTAATTCTTCCAAACTTTTTAAGTAGTTGTGACATCTGGAGTCCTAAATGTGTATATAGATTTTATATAACCTACATCTAGAAAATCACTTTTCACGGGTTCTTTTAAAAATAAACTGAAATAGAATTTAAAACACAAGTTGCTGTTTCTCGAATCAAAAAGTTTTTCCTACATTTCCCCAAGCATCTCTAATACTTGTATTTGAAATGAATTATTAAAGAGAAATCAAGGCCTGAGACATTTTTTCAAAAATTATACCAACATTTGGTATGTATTCTGGCAGACGACTAGAATACATTTAGGAAAGGAGCCTGCTATAATATAAAGAGTAAGCTTGTGATTACATGCACAGCGTTGATTAACAGGAGGATGCTTTGACTAAAAGCTTCAAGCTTCCATGTTCTTCTGAGGAAAATGCACGGAACCTAGAAGCGTCCTGTAGTTCAATAAATCAGTGCTGTGAACCACAAAACCTAGTTGAATAAAATACCAGTGAGCAGTTGGGTCACTAACAGCAGCCAAGGAAAGGAACGAAGAGCGACCATTACCGCCCAAGATATCAAGGCTACCTGGAATGTCATCTTGACATTTAGGTGTTTCCGTTTTGAGGAACCAGACCTCAAGGACCACTAAATCACGACTGCAGCCTCGCCAGGCCCCACAGAGAACTATCAGGATGCTCACCTGCGGGGCGACGAAGCACACGCATACCGGGACTTGCCCCTCTGAGCCCCCCCACCTTTTTTTTTTTTCAACCATCACCATCTCTTCCCAGCCAGCTGCATCTAACCAAGAGCAAGAACCGAGGACGGAGAAGATGGTGCCATGAGGAAAGCACGCCCGTTATCCAAAGCAACCTCCTTCTTCTCCATTCCAGAGGATGTAAAGCTGCACTTCTCCTAAGCTTCAGGTTTCTAGTGCAGAGTCTGCAATACTTAAATTTCCAATTGTATTTTAGCACAAGTAACTTCCCCGCCCCTCACCTTCACGAAAGCAATCGGGGTTGTGGTACCTTCGATATCTAACAAGATCACAGTGACTTCAGCGGGCACCGAAAACACGACCATTTCCCTCCCAGATGTTACCACGGAAATCGGAATGCTGGTAGGGAGGGTGGAGGGCGGCGCCGGCTGCGCCTCAAGACAGTCTTGGGCTTCCGAGAGCCCCGCAGCAATCTCGGAGGTGGCGACCTCGAGGGGCCTGAAGCGCGCAGGAAAGGATACCTCCGCGGACTACCAAGTGGAGAGGACTGCCATCCAGGGGTCAGAACTAAATGAGGCGGAGAAGCAGGCCCAGACCACGTGGGCAGGAAAAGGGGCGGTTCTCGTGGGTTCCTAGAGGCGGGGAGGAAACGGCGGCAGCTCCGATTGGCCGCCAGCCTGCCTCGAACGGGATCCGTCAAAATGGGCCTCGCGTGGGCGGGAACAAAGAAGCGAACGCGGGAGCCGCGCGCGCGCGCGCGCGCCCTCAGCAAACTGGTTGAACGAGTGGGAGAGGCCCGGGGCACGTGCAGACAGGAGCCCCGCGAGTGGCGCGCCGGGGATGTGAGTGCCCCTTGCCCTCTACTGCACCCAGCCCCCATCCCGCTCACTGCCTCTGCTCTTGCATATCTACAATGATTTGACCAGACCCCACCCCTCCTCGGGTCCTCAGCTAGCCACTGAGGCAGTGCTGGACCCCGGCTGCGGCCGACCAGCGGGGGAGATCTGCCGCGTCGCGTGGCCTGGGAACCTGAGGTGGTAGCGGAAGAGGCGCTGGTGTTGCGCCGCCGCCCGGAGGGGCCGCCGCGCGCGCCCTTCCTGTTCGGCTTGTTCCAGCCAGCGCGAAAACGAAACACGCGTGCGCGCGGCGGGCGAGCGCGCTCGCCGCCTCAGCCGCCAGCGCCGGGCGCAGTCCGCCTTTTTCCGGAGCAGTCCGGCCCCGGCGCTAGTCGATAGGAGCAGCCGCCGCAGCAGCTCCGCACAGGGGGACCGAGGGCGCAAAAAGGCAGGTTGATGGCTCTTTGGTAGGAGTGGGTCGGACCAGACGCCAGAGACAAAAGGCTCTCAAGGCAAGAAGGACTGTGGCCCCGCGACGGCGCTGCTCGGGATTTCTGACCCCAGGACTTTTCGCCCCTTTATTTTTCTCATCTGATTCTTCTCTTATCCCAAGCCCGCGTCCCCTCCCTCGTTCCTCACCGGGAGGGCCGCGATGGAGGTCCCGCCCCGGCTTTCCCATGTGCCGCCGCCATTGTTCCCCTCCGCTCCCGCTACTTTAGCCTCCCGTAGCATTTCCCATTGGCGGCCGAGGGCGCCGCGGCAGCTCGCCCCGCTCCTCCCTTCGCTTGCTGCCGGCTCCGCCCGGCAGGGGGCGCGCCGTACCCAGCGCCACGTCACCGCCCAGCAGCCCTCCCGATTGGCGGGCGGGGCGGCTATAAAGGGAGGGCGCAGGCGGCGCCCGGATCTCTTCCGCCGCCATTTTAAATCCAGCTCCATACAACGCTCCGCCGCCGCTGCTGCCGGGACCAGGACCGCGCGCCAGCACCCGACTGCCGACAGCTCCGCCACTATGGAGGACATGAACGAGTACAGCAACATAGAAGAATTCGCAGAGGGATCCAAGATCAACGCGAGCAAAAATCAGCAGGATGACGGGTACCGCACGCTTCTCTCCTCCCCTCCCCCAGCGCGCCGCACGCGCCCTTCGTCCCTCGGGAGCCGCGTGCTGCCCCAATTCTTGCCCCGAGTCGATTCTCCTCGTGCCCACTGGGCCCCAGTAGCTTGGAGGGAAGAGGAAAGTAAGACGGCGGGGGTGACTCGAGAGGCCCACGGGTGGTGGGGGAAGGGCAGAGGGGTTGGAGGAGGAGGGCGGCTGCTTCGGAGTTCCGAGTGCGCAGGCGCCGCGTGGGGCCGGGGGGGCCGGGGGGGGGGGCGGAGGGGCCGGCCTAGCTGCACCACATGCTGCAGCTGCCGCCGCCTCTTCATTGTCTTTTACTGCCCCGCGCAGCTTTTCAGGGGCGAGTTCAGAAACTCATGGTTTTGGCGCTAATAGATGAGTGGCATTTGATGCTTAAATTATGAGTTCTTAGGTAGGATGTTTGCGTGACAGCTGAGAACTAGAGATCATGAAAGTTGTGAGTGATCTGTTCAGGAAGTTGGATTTTCGGACCTTGAGGAATCTGGCAGAACCTTGGCCACATTTTAAACTTTGCATTACACCATGTGAAAAGCAATCTGTTTGGGTGCCCTAGATGCAATTTCGAGATTTTTGTGGTCAGTTGTTCGTGTTTGTAAAAGTAGATTAAGTTGCTTGAAGTTAGTGTAAATTTTCTTATGCTTATTTCACAGTTTGGTTAATTCCAGGAGTGAAGCAGTCATTTAAGTTACTGCTAAACTTAAAATAACTTTTATTTCTAGTAAAATGTTTATTGGAGGCTTGAGCTGGGATACGAGCAAGAAAGATCTGACTGAATATTTGTCTCGATTTGGGGAAGTTGTAGACTGTACGATTAAAACAGATCCAGTCACTGGAAGATCAAGAGGATTTGGATTTGTGCTTTTTAAAGATGCTGCTAGTGTTGATAAGGTAGGAATGTGTTCTGCACTGTGCCTCTTTTGGTGTCGCCCCCCCCAAGTTTTTATGGGGTTTAATTGCTGTCAATAAATTTGTCTTCTAGGTTTTGGAACTGAAAGAACACAAACTGGATGGCAAATTGATAGACCCCAAAAGGGCCAAAGCTTTGAAAGGGAAAGAACCCCCTAAAAAGGTTTTTGTGGGTGGATTGAGCCCAGATACCTCTGAAGAACAAATTAAAGAATATTTTGGAGCCTTTGGAGAGGTGCGCTGATGTTTACAAGTATCTCCTATTGGGTGTGTTCATAAATGTTTATCCTTAGTTAAGTTTGTGTAGGACCACTTAATATTTTTCATGAAGACAGAATTATGTCACTGTTCAACTACCTTCCAGTGACTGTAAATTAATTGTTGCTTTCTGTGCTGTAACAAAAACCAATATCTAATTTCTTTTGCACAAAACCCAGATATTTGATGTGATCAGTGTATGGACTGGGTACAAAAGGCTGTTAAAAGGTAATTTACTGTTAATGTTCCATATATAGCAAATCTTTTTTTTAAGCCTAATAATGATGCCTTTTAGGAAATTACCTGGTGTTCTGAGACAGATTGGTAGCTTTTTACTATTATTGGATGATCTTGAACATGCATCTTCATTGCAGATTGAAAATATTGAACTTCCCATGGATACAAAAACAAACGAAAGAAGAGGATTTTGTTTTATCACATATACAGATGAAGAGCCAGTAAAGAAATTGTTAGAAAGCAGATATCATCAAATTGGTTCTGGGAAGGTAAAGTTATGTAAATATATTGAATGTAAATTTGAGGATTTTTTTAAAAAGTAATGAATTTGAGAAGAGTAAAATGTTTTAATGCTAAAACTTCAGTAAAATTCTGTATATTTTTTTTTGAAATTTGTTTATAGTGTGAAATCAAAGTTGCACAGCCCAAAGAGGTATATAGGCAGCAACAGCAACAACAAAAAGGAGGAAGAGGTGCTGCAGCTGGTGGGCGAGGTGGTACCAGGGGTCGTGGCCGAGGTGAGAATTTTTGGGTAATGATTCCAGGGTTTAAGTTATATGCTGCTAAGTAAGACTAAGCCCAGAAAGAACAAAGTTGAATTAATTTTAAAGCTATTCCAACATAGAAAAAAATGACAAAGTGAGGGGGTTGCTTTTTTATTTAAATGAGCTTAGCTGGTTTCACCTGTTTAAGAATGGCCACTTTTGACAAATAGTGTCATTACTTGTAGAAAAATAGTATTACTTGACAAAACATGGTGTGATAGGTTTTCTCAGAAGTTCTTAAGGTCGACCTAATATCTTAACCTTAAATGGAAAAGATAACTGATTATTCATTATGTTTAGAAACTTGATACTGGCACAATTGGACTTTCTGCCCCCTAATAACAGTAAAAACATTCTATCCAGTAGATAGCAATATTTGGTCCATTCTGCCTTCTAAAATTTGCAGAGCAGGGGACAAGAACGCATCATTTTGTGTTAGAATTGGGGGTCAGAAGTGGTTTCCTAACAATCATTGTGCATTGTTTCAGGTCAGGGCCAAAACTGGAACCAAGGATTTAATAACTATTATGATCAAGGATATGGAAATTACAATAGTGCCTATGGTGGTGATCAGAACTATAGTGGCTATGGCGGATATGATTATACTGGGTATAACTATGGGAACTATGGATATGGACAGGGATATGCAGACTACAGTGGTAAGAATATTTAACTTAATTTCATAAACCAATGGTATTGAAATTCAGTATTGAAGTACACTCCCATTCTGAAATTGTTTGTGTACAGGTTTCCATCTATTTTTTAATATTTGGAGTTATTTCTGAGGTATATTATGATCATGAGATTATAGTAATAGATCATGGTGATTGGAAAAGTACTAGGATATATGATTTATGACTACTGGCTAGTAAGAATATTTTCATATTTAGCATGCAAAGTTTTACACATTTGATAGCTTTTTAATGTTTGTGAAGAAACCATTGTATAAAATACTTAGCCAAATTTGTATCTTTTCCAAATAGGTCAACAGAGCACTTATGGCAAGGCTTCTCGAGGGGGTGGCAATCACCAAAATAATTACCAGCCATACTAGAGGAGGACATTGGAGAAAACAGGTGTGTATAAGAGTATAAGAAACCAGTGGAAATGTCTAATTTAAAGATCAATAGACAAATGAAAACTAAGTAAAAACAACATATTATGTAGCCTGTTTTTACTAAATTGTTAATTTTTAATTGCTTTTATGAGCCTGTTTTGCCTAAAGTGTCTATAGATCTTTAACTTTAAAGTCTTATCTCACTTTTTTTAGTATTACAGAAAAACTTAAGAGTTTTTCTGTTTGTGTACCAGGAGGTCTAGAGGAATAATTAAACTTTTTTAGAACTATTAACAGGTAAAGTACTGAAATGGGTACAACTTAAGGAAAACAAGAATGTTATCTTCTAACTCTGACATTATACCTTGTTTGTACCCGCCAGCGGGAACTTCATTGCAGGCCGTGTGTCACCCTGACCACGTCTATCTCTGGGGGTCGCACGTTGCGGGCAGAGCGCAAGGCATACACCAGAAAACGCTGTCCTGTGGTATGGTCTCTTCCAACTTCATGTACCAGCGTAAAGATTAAAGTGGAAAACTTCAGACTTTGGCTTCTTTTTTTTAATCTTTTTGGAGATTAAGTGTCTAAACTTAACTTAAATGGTTTTTT